TTAGAGTTAATTTCAAACTATCACAAATCTAATGCTAATTTTGAATGATATTTGATAAATCATAGCTTTCGGATATGAAAAACAATAATCGGATAATCTTGTAATTATGTCGCTTAATGTGACTTTGTTATATTTAGTCACGATATCCCTCGTAAGTCCTGGTGCATACACGGAAACATTAATTGCAATCGCTGCTCAACGCATATCTGATAAAGGAGGTAATACTTTTGCTTCGATTCAAGAATGTTCTGATATTTTCAATTCTTCTCTTAGTCTATATCCCGTCAGCGTTCGGAAATGACGGAACAGGGGGTCTTCAAACAGGTAGTAATCCAGCCATTTCGCCTGGTGCAATGGCAATAGCTTCAATAGACAACGCGCATCAGGTCCAGTTCTACTTAGTCACACCTGATGGTAAAAAAATTTTCTATTCACCCGGAGTTAATTTCGGTGGATGGCAATCCACTGTAAAATCGATCATCGTCGTCAATGGTACATTTTCATTCTACTGACTATAAATAATTGTTTCTTTTCAATAATGACTAGATCCTAACGCTACAGTGAATGATGGATGCAACGGTCCGTCTAAGTCGGTGGCAGGTGCCGTTGTTTTGTATCGGTATAACACTGCGGATTCGTGTAGCTCAGCTGCTCGATGTGACAAAGCAGCAGCAGCCAATGCAACCGGCTGCCTCCTGTACAATGTTGGTCCTATCGCCGGTTTGATCTTCTTCATTTCATTTTCTTTTCAATTTGAGCTTGTCTTTCAGGATCATCGTCTATTCCAAGTGGAAGTATCAGTTTACCAGACGGTCAACGCATTATTGAAATAGTGACAAAAGATCCCATGGCTTTGTTTACATTCACTAATAAGAGAGGAATTCAGTCTGTTGTAAGTAAACATGGATCTGTTACTGCAGCAGTACATCGAATAAAAGTAGACTTAAGATTAACCTCTCAATCTTACTGGAATATAGTATACAGTATCTTATAGAGTATAATCGACTACGTTTGCGATACCAAACAGATAACGCAATTGTTGAAGAGTAGTTGTTTTTTCATTTTTGACAATATGGAAAGTGGATCGACTCGGAAGAACTGTGAGAAGTAGATCACAACATTTTTAGAGTTCACTGAAAGTACCAGAAGTCATTTATAACCCATTCAAAATCCAAATAATTTCGACCAACCCACTTTTTCTTTCTCAATTTCATTTTCCTTTTTTAGTTTGTCTTAAAAATGTTTTACATTTTGCCGAAGTTTTGAAAAATATTTGTCCTATTTAAGAGATTGGAGAAGACGATTTTTCTCAAATTAACTATTCAAAAAAGATACAATTCACTTGCTCTAAAAGTAGTTTCGGAATAATGAGTCAAATCTGTTACTCAAAAACAAAGAAATTTATACTCGAAAATACTTCAATATAATGAAAATAGGCACGAATAATTGTCATGTTGCTATCTTTATAAATTGCACTTAAAAGTTTCTTCTCTTCTTTTCATTGATGCTAAGCCGACGGGTGGAACACCTTCTTATTTCACATCGTTCGGTCCTACAGGTGATCTATTATCCAAACCCCAAATTGGTGGTATCGGTGGCTATGTTTATTCAACCATTTCACCTTCCGCCAAAAACAGTCAAAAGTTGTTTACCGCATATACTACCTACTCGGGTACAAGTATGGCGTGTCCTTATATTGCTGGGTATGTATAAATGTGCTTCAGTTAGACTATTATTTCAGACATATTTCATGATGATTGTTTGATCTATTTATAGAATTGAATTGTATTTTTACATGACTGTTAGGAGAAAAGTCCTCTTAATTCAAAGGTGGACAGACTCTTAATTAGCCAAAAGTCAATGAAAATCAGACAAAGTCATTCAATCACAGAGATATCATATCTAATCGCTAAGTAGTATTGTCCAAAATGAGTGAAAATCATACGAGATTGCTTACATGATATAAAATCAACAACACTTCCGGATTCTCAGGATCATAAACTTCCTTTGATGAAAGAATTTTGAAAGATAGTGCGAAGCAGGAGATTTTAATATCTAGGCTTTGTAAGTAATCTTTATCGATTTTCACAGATTTAAAAAATGAGTTTAAGTAATTTGAAGAAGTGTGATGATTCTTAAGCAATTTTTGCTTAATTTCTTCGAGTATGTTGCCTTTATTCATTATGGTGGTTCTATTTAATTTTGATCAGTTCTGCTTGATTTTCTGTTATTTTGAATGATTTTCGATGCTAACAGTAATCTCAAGTCCTAAGAATCATGAAATTCAGTCAAAATAAATTCAAATCATATAATACCACGAAAAATCCTAATTGCTAAAACTATTTGAAATTGCAACAATCAGGATTATGTGTTTCAATCTTGAAATTTAATATTTGTCGCTTCCCATTTTCTAGAAAATTCTGGAACTAGTCAGCAGAATCTCAATTTTGATTCGAGAGACCATCTTTAACTATGAATTATTCGTCACACAAACATTGAGAATAAGAAACATGAAAGCTTGTTTGCTAGTTTAATCCCGAGATATATGAGACGATTGCAAGCCATTTGTACAATTGAGAAAAAAATAATGGCTAAGCTTATATCTTGTAGAATTCTCAACCGAATTCAATAATTTTATCAGAAAATATTCTTCACAAGTGTGGCTAGGTTGACTGCTGAAATCAGCCATTTAGCTATTATTTCTCAATAGAGGGCATGAAAATGATGTCGTTTTTCCAATGAAATTTCACATGGTCATGTCCAATGGCAATAAATGAATTTGATTTTTTTTCTGTTAAGAATACTTTTAAAAATTTATTCTAACGTATTAGTATCTTCGTAAGATTCACTAGAAAATGCACTATTTGATTTAGCCAAGTAGCGTTTATTCTATTTGTATCTGCTCGAAGTATTGGTGGCCTAAGATTTGGTAAAAATGTCCCGTCACGCTGTAAACTGTTTTTTTCCTAATGAAAACTTCAATGAAGCCCCATTCAATTATAGTAAAAATGTAGCCCCGAGAAAAAGAAATAAGTTGGAATTTAAACAAAATCTATAGTATTTTTTATTGGAAAAAAGAATTAAAAAACTCAGTCCTCAAACAGGAGTTTTTCTCGCTAAATGTCCCGTCACGCTTTATTTTTGTTTTCTATGTATCTTGAGTTCTACTGCATCATAATCAGTATAATTTTCAGCAAAAATAGAGCGCTAGGTATAGAAGAGACACACCAAATTTCGGCTCTCAGTTGTTTGTTGTTTCGGAGAAAATTACAAAATACTGATCAAATGTTCCGTCACGCCTTTTTGACAGTAAAAGTGATGTTTTTCGACCAAAACAGAAAGAAATTTAGATGTGTCTTATATGAATCGAAAACTCTTTGAAAGAGTGATCTTACTAGACGTATTAAAACTCTTTCGAGCGAAAAGGGCGAGTTTACTTAGGTAACTTCTCAAAAAGGATCGTTTGATACTTCCTTATAATACATACACGATGACTAGATGAATATCAAAGATGAGCTTAAAAACATCAATTTTTTGAAATTTCAGTTATCCTTGATAGTGGTAGTGAGACAAATACCAGTCTCATTTATTTCTTGAATAGTACTATCTAACCCAATACACAGAATCATTCTCAGTGAAAAATGAAATTTTCAAAAGAAGTTGAAGTCGAATTGTACAAATGGTTTGGAATCGTCTCATATACATTCAATGGATGACTTACTTGTCATCTCAAAATGAGAAATGGCATTTTTCTTTAGAAACTGCTTCCTATATGTATCGACGAATTTGAGTTGCTTATTCTGATTACTACTAAGAAGAGGACAGCTAGTTTCTGATTATTTTGATTTAGTCAAATGAATAATTTTTCTCTAAAGTCTTCATGAATTTGTAAATATTCAAACGTAAAACTAATAGTTCTTACGGAAAATGCTCAGAATTGTGTTTGAAAGAGACTTTCAACAAGAGTTTTCATGAAAATCTTTTGATCTTGAGACTCTATATTCAAATACCAACAGGTTCCTAGTGACTCACTGTCACCTCAATGCTACTTAGAAAATATAACGCAATTTCACATCTACTATCGGAGAAGATTGTGCACGTGAGACTACGTTGTTTCTAAGATTATCATACAAATGATTTGAACGATAAAGAATGTTTTCCATTCTTGTTAAAGTAATATTTTTGTTAATCAACTACTTAATAGATAGAATGAAACCAAACAAGACCTGGTAAGTTAGTTTTAAAAAATATCTAAAACATCTTTTTATCAGAACTAAATTATGCTAGTGAGATGAAAAAGTCTTTTACAAGAACAAAACTGTTCATTATACTGTAAAAACTGCTAAACGATGTGTTAATATATTCGTCAAACTTTAGAAAACACGCGTAACCAGATCAAGATTCTATTATTGTTACTATTGTAACATTCATTAATTGGCATTAGATGATGTCACAGGAATACGATTTTATCCAGCATCATCTCTGGTTTATTAAGAATATTTCGAGCAATTTACAGATATAGATTAAATTTGTCTATAAATGACTCATAGGAGACCGATAGGATCGCAAAAATACGTAGATTTTTCTAGGTCAATCAATTGTCAATCTATTCTCACGTAATACTAAGTCAAAAATCTAATATAAATCACAAAGTCTATGCTGTTTTGTTGAGAACATCTATTAGATTTCACGGAATGTCAGAGATAGTAAACGTAGAACAAGAATAAAGATGCACTTTGAGTTTTACATAGAAAAGATATCATAAAGAAACGCTTCTTGCGCTGTCACATTGAATAGATATCAAGTATGCTAAATCATTATAAAACTCATTCGATTCTGTTATTTGAAGAACTCTGGCACTTTTTCTTGCAAAAATCGGCAATCCCGCCCCCGGAACAGTTCGCAAAAGTTTAGGAAGTGCAAATCGTCGGCCTTCATTCTCAGAAGTCGTCAATTTATTTCTATCGAACGCCAAACCAGTGAACATATACAATACATCAATGCTTGCTACCACTGTGCAACAAGGTGCCGGGTTGGTTAATGCTTTTCAAGCCTTAACAGCTACCACGATTATTTCACCGAGTGAACTTGCTTTAAATGATACGGTCAGACAAAAGAAATTCTACAACATTAAAATATCCAATGTCGGTAAGAAATCAGCTCGGTACCAGATATGTCATCGTGGAGCTGCATTGGCTACTGGAAAACAGCCAAAAGACGATCAGCTTTTGAACACACCAATATACACTGCTAACTATGCCGTGAGTACTATTTCATTAATTCATGTTAGATTGTAGGCTTTTATTTTTAAGTAAGACTCTAATAAAGTCTCATCTTCCAGAAACTGTAGTTTAGGCAAGTATGAAATTGAAAAAATCCTGTAAAGCAGTCTATTGTTTAATTGAACTCTAAATACTTTGCTACAAGAATAGAAGAATCGACTTGAAATTATATTATATCTGAAGTATACAGAAGAATGTTTCTGAAATATTTTTTACTCTACTCTCTAATGATTATGAAATTGATGCAATCGAGTAGATAAATGAATACTTATATGTCATGTATGCTCTCACCAACGAATCGAAACCGAATTTTCTGAAACATCAAATAACCGATGCTAACTATTGAAGAAAAAGAGCAAAATATACTGCAAATTAAAGTAGAAATTACATAGAATACCATTTTAATGAAAAACAGCATCACAGGATTTACAAAGAAGAATTTTTGTATTTTCATTCAATTCTACCGAATTTTCAGCTAACCAAAAGGTATTTAGTATACTTATATTTCAAGCACGATTTATTTTATTTGTTTTTGTTTGATCAACATATTTTGATCTAAGACAAACCTAAAGAATGACTTTCAAATATTGAGTTCGTAGAGAGAAAGTGCTAATCTTTTGGTATAATTTTTTTTGATAGCATGTGCTCACGATGTCGATAGTCGATTGGACTCTGTTAAATAAACCTCCCGACACATTAGAAGACCCCCCTTTGGTAATTGAAGCAAACGACATGTTAGAAGACTCCCCTTACAAAATCGATTTTTTAAAATAATTTCTGGAATCTAGTGGCATTTTTTGAATTTAAGTCCATAATGATGTCTAAGTTCAGTATGAACAATATTTTACTTTCGTCGTGATAACGATCTGTCAGTTCCAAGTTAGAAAAATCTTGAGAAACAGCTAATAGGAAACAACTGTTTATACAGTAATATGTTTTTTTTTGAAAGCATATCGTGTAGTCATTTTAGTCTTTCTTTGCAGGTTACTCTGGGAAAATTCATTAAGTTCTATATGCAAAAAAACCTTTCTATGACTGTGCGATCTAGTGGGCAGAGCCCGCATTTGCGGGTGTAGCACATGAAGGGATCTTTGTAAAATAGTAACATATTTGATAAAATTTCGTTTTCTATTAATTAAAAACCTTGTTCGTCTATAAATTTCTACTAGAGGTTCAGAAATGTCTTAAACAGATTTTTATAGTTGAAGAAAACCTATCTTCATGTATATATTTCCAAGTTTGTTCGATGAGTACTTATGAATCTGAGAATGAATTTCTTTTTTTCAATACGACCTAAAGTCATTTTTCGAAACAGACATAAAAGAAAACACAGAATGTGTATTCAACTGCTGTTTTTCTACAAACTGTTTCTTCAGAAGACAATCATATTCATCGAAGTTAACTTATGAACAATAATTATGTTAGTGGTAGATTTCACCGGAACTAATTCCATCTGTACTAATCAAACCTCAACATAAACAGTTGCCTTAAGTAAATTCGACAAAAAGAAGGTTATTTTCTTTTTTCAGTTATTTAGTTATTTAGAAGGTAAAATGTTGCCAGTGACAATAGAATTCTTCAGAAAAAAGAATTCTATTGAACATTGTACCAAGGTGTTAGGAAGTATTGCCTGTACTGTTCTTAGAACACTTCTTACTAACGATGACCTTCTTCCTTATGACAGGGTAATATATGATTCTTTCTCATTCTACGCGTGAGGAACAAATAAAATAAACTCGTTTACTTACGGTGTATTGAACAAAAATTGACTAGAACCAAAATTTGTTGGTGATACTGTCAAAAAATAGCTTTTTCTAAGGGACATATTAGAAGATCCCCCTTGTAACTTATGAACGGTAAGACAAAATAGAAGACCTCGGGTCTTCTAATGTGTCGAGGGCTTTAGTAGTATAGTCATCAAACTTTCGTTACGAAAAGGAAAAATCAGTGACGAAAAATTTTACAAGAAAGCAAACGTCGTTTTTCGCTGTAAAAACGATGATCACTAAGGAGAGGGATGTCAGTCCTCTTCTTCTATAGCTATGCCACTACTATTGAGTTATTAATCTATGCTCTTTCTTGTACCATTAAAAGGATGTCGACATTTCGCCGATGTATTTCAAACTTAAGCCTGGACAATCATGTACGATCACACTTCGTTTTCAAGCACCTCGTAAAGCTCAAGCGTCTCTTCTTCCCATTTTCTCTGGCTTCATTTATGTCTCAAATGATGTAGACGAAAAAGTTGCTCATATTCCATGTAAGTAAATATTTTTCTCAGCCTTCTTAAATTCATCTTTTATGAAATGATCTACATGTTTTTAGATGCTGGTGTTGTCGGCGATTATAAAAATGCTCGGATTTTAGTTCGCAATAGTTCAACAGGCCTCGTAACAGGCCTAGCGAATGGAAATGGTTTCTATATTTCGAACGGAGAATATTTGAATTTGACCAAATCCGGTGTATTTCCAGTATTGGTTATGGCATGGGCATCACGTATAGTTATCGTAGATGTTATTTCGGGAAAAGACAATGTTCCACATAGTGGTTTTAATTCGGGGTAAAACACGACTTCATCCAAGATCATTGAATATGATGATGAGGACTTAAAGTCGAGGATTCTAGCTTCTTCCTTACTGTGTATATCATGGGATCTTTGAAAGTCATAGTTGCAATCTTATGGTCATAGTCTTAGTTATTTCTAATAATCTTAAGCGATAATGACAAGTAATGTGAAACTTTCTGTGAAAAAAATTTTTTTTTTCCTCTGTGATCATCCAGAAAGTATATTGAATCCGTTGACAAATAAAAGTCAGCATCAGAATTGTGCGTTCTTCCAAATGATAGATGCAAAAAATATCTTCTTTCTTTTACAAGTAATTAGAATAATTTTTCAAAAGCCTCAACAAGTCGTTTTGTTGGATCAGATCGAATGTTGTTGATACATAGTGCTTAGTTTATTTAGTTGTCTACACAAAAATATATCAGATAAATGAAGAACTAGATATGACTTCGGATAAGAAGTATATGTCTCCTTCAAATATAAACTCAAGTACATTATGCTATTCTTATTTGAGAGCAGAGAAGATCTTCGAACTCTAAATACAAAAAATAGTAAAAGATGTGCTTTCAAACCAAACTGAAACCCTTTTTTCTTCTAAAGAGAATGAGACTATACAGATTTTATTCTCATATCACTTGCATATATGAAATTGCTTTTCATGTCAAAAATTTAGTCTTCGACGTTGCAGTGTAAATAACCAAAAAAAATTAAAGAAAACAAAAAAGAAACTCATATGATGCATTTCGTGGAGTATCGATATTCGATACTGAAAAACAGAAAGTTTAAAGATAAAATGTTAGAAGCTTGATGTAGAAAACAGAGTGGTGAAAAACTAAAATGCAGAAGAAAAACATGTGAAAAATTTCATTATGATCTAAAAGATCATAAAACTTGAACAAAGCAGTCACCTATTATCGAAGTAACAGATGTTCAGATTCATTTTTCGATCTCTACTCTATGGAATAATAGTCTATTCATTAGTGTACTAGTATATCGTAGTTCATTTGGATTATTCTTGTAGTAGAAGCTGATTTTTGCCTTCCTCCTTGCAGAAAAATAGATAGTTTTAAGAAATTCTTAAAATTTACAAACGAAATTCTTTAACTTGAAGACAAGAGAATTTTTCAAATGAGAAAATCTAGAAATTCTCTATTTTTTGTATGTGAAAATTGAAAATATGCAAGTTTTACAATTCATTTTTAGTAAAATTACAGTTGTCTGCAATAATATAGGTCAAATTTTAGTCAAACATATATTTACTTTCGGAAATGCTTTTATATCCTATTGCATAAACATAATCAAATGACGACAAGTACGCTATCGTCTAAGCAAAAAGTTTTCAAGCTCTTTTTTCTCTAGCAGATTTTTATTGAAAGTTCACCTTGTGCAAATCTTTCCTATCCAATTATGGAATCTTAAATAGCTGTTCCATAATGCTCAAAATTACCTGTGTAGGATATTGGTGTAGAGCAAAATCTTTCCTCTTCAAGACTTCATCATGTTTGACTATCCACTACTTTTGCCACGATTTCATATTCGACAAATGTTTTTCAATATTCTCTTTCAATGTTTCGTTTTTCTGCATCAACGTTTTTCAATATTGTTGCCTGTTGCAGTCTTGACTGTCCACATTTGCCAAGTTTACCCGACATTCTAAGCGTAAGACTTAGATTTTCATTTATGAAATTCTACAATTTTACTTGAAAGGTCAACATGTAGAAAAGAGATCATTTTAAGTCAGAGAGTTGGAAAAGAAAGATTATAGTCATTTGATAAGGAATCGAACTACTGCAAAAAATCTTCTAAAAAGTTGCTCTCTGAGAATCTTCATATCATGTATCCTGTCAAAGATTTCATTAAACAATCAAGAAATATACCATTCTACGTAGAATTTAGTTGACTACAAGATAATCTACTGTTCGTATATAACGAATTCTTTGAAACGTTTCTGAAAGGTTATTTAGATCAATAAAATCTATTTCAAAGTTTTTTTTCAAAATCAATTCATGATTATGATTACTTCCAAAAAACTTTTTATCCAAAATGTTTAACAAATGCTCTGTTTTTCTGACAAAAATAGAACGTTTAAAGATGAACACTGTTATTGAAGCTATGGTTTCGCTAAAATCTCCGATTATAGCAAACCTAGAAAAGCAAATATATTGGAACGAAAATTGTATAAGACAGTTCGAAAGATGGGAATGAGAATTTTTACTCCCGACATTTTTTCACGCGAGAACCTCGCTCTTCAGAGAATTGAATGAAACAAGATTTAAGATCCCCTCAAAAAAAAGTCACTATTCGTCAGAATGATTGAAATTTAGATAAATACAGGAAAAGATAGCCCATGATCCGATGTCTTATAAACGGCAAAAATTTTTACTTGAAACTTTATCTTTTCCAAAAATTTTTGAAGATTTTCGTCATCCTCTTTTCGAAAAATACGCTATTTTTGAAAAAAAAAACCAAAAATTGTTTTCGCTTTTTCTCGTTTTATAGGTTTACATCGTCGTATCTCCAAGAATTCTCGAAGGAGCTCCATTGTGGCCAATAACTTTTCTTTTTTTTTTTGTTTGAAAGCTTGTGTTTAAGCTAGTGACTCTTATGATCCTTTTTTTAAACTAAACTTTTCTATTATCATACAAGAAAACACTTCTATAGAAATAGCCCCATTTTTTAGAGGTTTTTTCAGTCATTGGACTTGTCATCCATTTTCTTCGCTTAAAAAGTAAGAATTTAAAAGAAAAAGATTCACGAGAATCGCTAGCCCTAAACACGAGCTCTCAAACAAGAAAAATTTAAGTGTATAGGATAAAGGTCCACAGAGAATTCTTGGAGACAAAATAAGCTGCTTTTGATCCTTGTTTAGTGAATATCTCTATCAAACATCATGATATAGGACTGAAAATTTTATCATAGCCCTCTCACACTAGCTTCAACATATTTTGAAAGTTTCATGCAATTTGGATGTTCCTGATCTGAGATCGATTTTTGAGGGAGAGGAACATTAAAATACGATGTTTGTTCTACTGATACTCCAGTAAAAACTTGATTTTGTAAATTCTGAAGATTAAAAAATCGACTAATCAAAGAAATTTTCGGATAGATAGAACTCGACACTCTTTACAGCATATTAAAAAACAATAGGATTTTGGTCTTGCTTAAAACCAAAACTTTTGAGACATCGCTTAATGAAAATCTCATTATCGATAGAAGATTGACAGAAGACTGCTACGCACTATATCGTTTTGTAGAGAAATGTTTGTACTTATTGTCCGTGTATTTTGAATAATCTTGGCTTCTACTTTGGACGAGTTGTTTCGAGATAAGAAAAATTATAATACAATTTCGAGTCAATTAAAGGTTGATAACGAATTCACAAGTCAAAAGTCCCACAAAAACTCGGCACATGTACTCAAAGAAAGAAAACAACATTCAGATTCTATCACAACGTCTTTTTGTTTTTTTAAATTTCTGAAACATCTTTAGTGATAAAGAATGAGCATATAAGTTCATCATAAACAGACGCGCTAGCTCTTCATGCCTTTGTTCTTTGTAACTTTTGTTTGATTAAAATCTACTATCTCTCCGTTGATGTCATCCAATCGTCTCTATGCATGAAATCTTGATAGCAGTTTAAAGCTGAAAATTGTAGATATACGACAATATGGTACTCATTCATGACATTTACTGGTTTCCTGAATTTGATAACTTCCCTATTAATCAATGTAACTCCAATCTCGAGCAGGAATTCTTCTGTTAGTACTTCATTTCTTAATTTAAAGAGCACTGACTAGTGTATTCAATCTAGCACTTTTTTTTTATGAAATTTCTCAAAATCAGATGTTTATGACTTGCTGATACTGTCTCATGAATATTATTCTCTTTACTTCACAGCTATGGTTTGGTGTATGACGTTAGTGGAGTAGGTCCACTACGCCTGCTTAATTTACCAAGAAATGTTGCTACA